TACGAGGAGCGGAGAGAATGATGATTATAAACAGTTTGAAGTGTGGCGGTTGAATGAGTGAAAGGCGGCAAAAACTTTAACGCGATTCAATGCAGACTAAAAGCAGTCCGTACACATTTTATATAACAATTCGTGTTGCCAGACTGCTTTTAGTTGAAATATAATATTTAGTATAAACAAAATAGACTTTCATTTCTTATAAAGTACTTTTAATTATAAATAAATACAATACTTATTTAACATATGCATATGTATGTACATATATTTGAATGCTTGCATGTATGCAAAACTTAATAACTAAAACGCTTAAAACTCCATGAACATCGCATTTTGGGCTTATGAATAATGAGCAAACGAAATTTACCACGCGTTACGAGCATTTTTAGGTTGGATGAGTGATATGATGATTTGAGTGTGCAACTGAGAAATTTAAAATGTTAAAATTTTTCAACTAATTTATGAAGAAATATTAAACTTTTGAATGCATTAAAGCATACACAAAAACATTTTTATAAAGAATTGCGCAAGAATGCGTGGGTGGGTAACTAATTTGAAAAGAAACCAAAATGTTTGAGTGAGAAATTTCAAAATAACAACAACTTCAACATTATAAGTTTTTGAAAATATTCCGATTGCTTTTCACTCACCCTCATTGGAGTCTTCTGCTAATATGATTGTATTATTTTTCATAAATTATTAAAGACACAAAAATAGCGTATATTAGCGTAAATTTGTGTTAAGTACGAAAGAAAAATATTTCGAAATGCATTTAGTAGTTAGACACTGCAAAATGCCGTTATACCGTACCAAAATAATTATAGCAATTTATTTCAATGCATAAAACCTTCAAAATATTTGACATAACCTCAAAAGCGTAATTTTTACTTCTAATTATCGCTTTCACTATCTCTAAAACTCACCACCATAATTGCCGCGTGGTCCATGATCGCGATCACATTCAGCTTCTGAGATTTCATTGCTCTCTTTGGAGTCGTTGAACGACGAGTTGCTCATATCGTGGTTGCGTGGTGGTGTGGTGGTGGTTCTGGCGAGCCATTACCTGGATTACGTGCAGAACCTAATTAGTAGCAGTCACATTAAAACCTTCTAAAATTCCCCTACTTTATCACCACCCAAACTTCAACATACACTTACCAACACTACGACGGCCCATGGAGCCACGTGAACCATAATGATCATATGGTGTGCCATATGGACCACCATACTGTGAACCGTATTGATCCTCTTCGGGTGCGCAATTAGCGGGATCATCATATTCGGGTCCGGGGCCGGAGTACAGACTGCCGCCTTGCGAGTTGACGCGTGTGTAACGGCGCTGTAAATTCAACATATGATTTATGAACATTTGTATTATAAATTGTTGTAATTCACATATTGATCTTCCTCGGCGCAATTGGCTGGGTCATCATACTCTGGTGCTGGTGTATAAATAGACGATTGCCGCCTTGGCTATTCTTGCGTGCGTAACGATTGGCGCGTGGCATTGACTGTGAAACCGGAACGTGAGTGTACATGTCCAGGGTGTCCGGGTGGTCCCATGGTGCCAGCGTGGCCGGTCCAGGTGCGTGACCATTTTGGTGTGAAGGTTTGGAAATTCATAGCTTTGGTGGATCCATTTCTTCACGGAAGCGAGCAAGTGGAAGGTCGCATAGGGGCAGATTTCATCTTCCATGCCTTTTGTGTTGAAGTTTTGTTTTTAGAAAATTTCGAATAAAAATTTTGAGTGTTAGTACTCATCGATTTCGAAAATTTCAAAATATGGGAGTATTGTTTTTGTTTTTGGGTTTGAGGGTTTATGTTGTTACTGTTGTTACACTGTACTGTATTGAGTAGTTATATTATAGAAAATAGCATGCATAAATTTTAATACATCTGTACATACATAGTATTTGTGTACACCATTACTTACTGTTAATATTGTTAAATTCGGTAATCTTTATTTGAGAGCCACAAAAATCCAAAACAAGTTAATAATTTATTTCGAAATTTTTAAGAAAACAAATAAAAGCAAAAATTATGTGTGTAAATAAGAGCTCCTTAACATCTTATACCTTTATGCAAGCGATACAATGTTTCAAATAAATTACGGCCTTACTATTTTTATACTCTCGCAACCTGTTGCTACATAGTTTAATAGTTTTGTTCACCTAACGGTTGTTTGTATCACCTAAACTAATCGAGTTAGATATAGGGTTATATATATATAAAGATCAGGATGAAGAGACGAGTTGAAATCCGGGTGACTGTCTGTCCGTGCGTCCGTCCGTGCAAGCTCTAACTTGAGTAAAAATTGAGATATCTTTATGAAACTTGGTAGACATGTTTCTTGGTACTGTGAGACGGTTGGTATTGCAGATGGGCGTAATCGGACCACTGCCACGCCCACAAAACGCCATTAATCAAAACAAATAAATTGCCATAACAGGCTCCGCAATAAGATTACATCATCTCATACCATCCCAGAGATAAAATTTAATGTCTCTGGCTTGTTCAGTGCTTGATTTATCGCGCTTTTAGTAGTTTTTAACAGTACCGTTATATGGGGAGTGGGCGGAGTTGACAATTTTCACACCGTCAATAGAAGTGCTAAAAACATTTGCTTTCAGTGAATTTTGCTATTATAGCATTAGCGGTTTAGGAGATATGCACATTAAACATATTAGAGGCGAGACCACACCCACTTAAAAAAAAATTTAACTACAGATGCCCCTCCCTAATGTGATCCTGTGTACCAAATAACAGTCTTGTATCTTATTGCGGAGCCTAGTTATGGCAATTTATTTGTTTTTGATTAATGGCGTTTTGTGGGCGTGGCAGTGGTCCGATTACGCCCATCTGCAATACCAACCGTCTCACAGTACCAAGAAACATGTCTACCAAGTTTCATAAAGATATCTCAATTTTTACTCAAGTTAGAGCTTGCACGGACGGACGCACGGACAGACAGTCACCCGGATTTCAACTCGTCTCTTCATCCTGATCATTTATATATATATAACCCTATATCTAACTCGATTAGTTTTAGGTGATACAAACAACCGTTAGGTGAACAAAACTATTAAACTATGTAGCAACAGGTTGCGAGAGTATAAAAATAGTAAGGCCGTAATTTAATTTGAAACATTGTATCGCTTGCATAAAGGTATAAGATGTTAACGGAGCTCTTATTTACACACATAATTTTTTGCTTTTATTTGTTTTCTTAAAAAAAATTTCGAAATAAATTATTTAACTTGTTTTGGATTTTTGTGGGCTCTCAAATAAAGATTACCGAATTTAACAAATATTAACAGTAAGTAATGGTGTACACAAATACTATGTATGTACAGATGTATTAAAAATTTATGCATGCTATTTTCTATAATATAACTACTCAATACAGTACAGTGTAACAACAGTAACAACATAAACCCTCAAACCCAAAAACAAAAACAATACTCCCATATTTTGAAATTTTCGAAACCGATGAGTACTAACACTCAAAATTTTTTATTCGAAATTTTCTAAAAACAAAAACTTCAACACAAAAGGCATGGAAGATGAAATCTGCCCCTATGCGACCTTCCACTTGCTCGGCTTCCGTGAAGAAATGGATCCCACCAAAGCTATGAATTTCCAAACCTTCCCACACCAAAATGGTCACGCACCTGGACCCGGCCACGCTGGCACCATGGGACCACCCGGACACCCTGGACATGTACACTCACGTTCCGGTTCACAGTCAATGCCACGCGCCAATCGTTACGCACGCAAGAATAGCCAAGGCGGACAATCGTCTATTTATACACCAGCACCAGAGTATGATGACCCAGCCAATTGCGCCGAGGAAGATCAATATGTGAATTACAACAATTTATAATACAAATGTTCAAATAAATCATATGTTGAATTTACAGCGCCGTTACACACGCGTCAACTCGCAAGGCGGCAGTCTGTACTCCGGCCCCGGACCCGAATATGATGATCCCGCTAATTGCGCACCCGAAGAGGATCAATACGGTTCACAGTATGGTGGTCCATATGGCACACCATATGATCATTATGGTTCACGTGGCTCCATGGGCCGTCGTAGTGTTGGTAAGTGTATGTTGAAGTTTGGGTGGTGATAAAGTAGGGGGGAATTTTTAGAAGGTTTTAATGTGACTGCTACTAATTAGGTTCTGCACGTAATCCAGGTAATGGCTCGCCAGAACCACCACCACCACCACCACGCAACCACGATATGAGCAACTCGTCGTTCAACGACTCCAAAGAGAGCAATGAAATCTCAGAAGCTGAATGTGATCGCGATCATGGACCACGCGGCAATTATGGTGGTGAGTTTTAGAGATAGTGATAAGCGATAATTAGAAGTAAAAAATTACGCTTTTGAGGTTATGTCAAATATTTTGAAGGTTTATATGCATTGAAATAAATTGCTATAATTATTTTGTGTACGGTATAACGGCATTTTGCAGTGTCTAACTACTAAATGCATTTCGAAATATTTTTTCTTTCGTACTTAACACAAATTTACGCTAATATACGCTATTTTTGTGTCTTTAATAATTTAATTGAAAAAATAATACAATCATATTAGCAGAAGACTCCAATGAGGGTGAGTGAAAAGCAATCGGAATATTTTCAAAAACTTATAAATGTTGAAGTTGTTGTTATTTTGAAATTTCTCACTCAAACATTTTGGTTTTCTTTTCAAATTAGTTACCCACCCACGCATTCTTAGCGCAATTCTTTTATAAAAATGTTTTTGTGTATGCTTTAATGCATTCAAAAGTTTAATATTTCTTCATAAATTAGTTGAAAAAATTTTAACATTTTAAATTTCTCAGTTGCACACTCAAAATCATCATATCACTCATCCAACCTAAAAAATGCTCGTAACGCGTGGTAAATTTCGTTTGCTCATTATTCATAAGCCCCAAATGCGATGTTCATGGAGTTTTAAGCGTTTTAGTTATTAAGTTTTGCATACATGCAAGCATTCAAATATATGTACATACATATGCATATGTTAAATAAGTATTGTATTTATTTATAATTAAAAGTACTTTATAAGAAATGACAGTCTATTTTTGTTTATACTAAATATTATATTTTCAACTAAAAGCAGTCTGGCAACACGAATTGTTATATAAAATGTGTACGGACTGCTTTTAGTCTGCATTGAATCGCGTTAAAGTTTTTTGCCGCCTTTCACTCATTCAACCGCCGACACTTCAAACTGTTTATAAATCATCATTTGTCTCCGCACATCGTTACTCATCATAGCATGAGTGTCATGTGTTTACTCATATAAGCATTAAAAAATGCATTTCATGTTCTAAATAAATTGTGATTTTTGAAATTTATTTATATATAAGTGTTTTCCAATATTCATACTGTGTTTTGCTAAATAATTTGTGTTTAATTTATTGTCAAAATTATACAAATTGGTTAAAGTTTTTTTTTATATTTTTCAACGACGGTTTGGTTTATTTTCAACATATACTTCATATAATTTGCACCGTTTCTTTTCATTTCATTTTCAAGCACACTTTTATAATATATCTTTTATTTGTATACATACATACATACATGCATTTATGTTTTTTTTTTTTTTAATTTTGTTCATAACAACTTATTGTCTGTCACTAAAATAAATAATTTTACGGGTTTTAGTTTAAAATTTTAGGCATACCTATTTATTTCAAATAATTCCATGTTTATATTTATTATATCATTACCATTATTGACAAAATCACATCTCATATATGGCATCAGCATGCACATTTCATATTAAAAGTCTAAGTTAATTTAGTAAAATTTATGTGTAGTTGTAGCAATTTATTTTTTGTAGCTTTAAAAATAGAAAAAAATATGGGCATCAAGTTTCTTAATATATTATATAAGAACCTACAACCATTAATTCGGTCGAGTGCAAATTTATTTTGTTTTCAGAATACATGACACTACTAAATTTATATGATAAATTAAAAATTTTTGTTTTTAAATTTAAGTTTTCAAAATATTTCCTTATCTTACAAGCAAAGGTAAAAAAAGTATTTGTAAACTCTGTTTTATAACCTTTTTTCTTCTTGCGTTAAAATTTTAGAATTGGAAAATTCAAATTAAAACTTGAAAATATTTCACAAGCTTCAAATTGCAACACAAAAATAATAATAAAATTAAATGTATAATTTGTTTAAATAATAAAATTTTAAATTGTTGCACAATTTGGTGATTAATTATTTATATTTCATATATTTTAAATTTTTTGTATCAAAACAAATTCATTATTTAAATAAGCTTAACTACATTTTTGAAAAAAAAAACATCTCTTATTAAAATTAATAAAAGAAATAACACGCCTATTTGCTTTTCGAAAAAAAATGTTATGAAAAAAAGAAAACTTGTTTTGCCAAAAATCTTTGTTTCTACCAACAAAATTTTCTGTGAAAATACATTTTTTTTCAATGTAGCATATTATTATGGGTAAATTAATAATTTCTCATTTAAAAAGTAAAATTACAAATAAAAAAAATTCGATTCATTTTGCACAAGGTAGAATAAAGGCTTTTTTTTAAAAAGTTAGGTTAAAAACGATATTATTTAATTTTTTTTTAAATTTTCTTTGTTGAGTAACAACAAATATATTGATACAACGTGCTTTTCAAAAAAGAATATGGTTGAATATTATTAAAATGTTCATTCACTTCTCCCAAAAAAAATGTAATGTATTTATTTCGAAACATCCAAAATTAGCAATTATTAAAATCGTTGCTACTGAGTTTATAAATTTCGAAAACCTTTTATTTTGCACAATTGTTGTTGTAAATTTTTTAAGCTACATAAAAACTATAACTAATTGCACATAAGAAATATATTTAAGGGGAAATACAATTTTAAGAAATTTTTTAAAAATTAAACTGTTTGATATATTCCAAACAATAAATAAAATATGGTATCATTTAATTTAAAGTGAAAAAGTTAAAAATATATTTCATATTTACGGTAATAATATTAAATGCGAAAGTGCATATTTTTTGTAAATCGACTTTTAGAAAAATTCTTTGAAATTGTGTTTGAAATGTTTACAATTGTAAGCTTGCTAGGAATTTACATAAAATTTAATTTGGTTAATTTATTGATTTCTATAACTTTTCTTTCTCCTTTTTTATTTTTAACATATTATTTCGGAACTTTATCATACTGAAACTAAATATATTTGTGCTAACGTTTGGGAAACGTTTAATTTTCAATACTCAATAATATGCACAAAAACTAAAAATTTAAATGTTAGCAGCTGTCAAAAGATCCCCACTGCAAAAGGATCAGCGTACAACCGAAGAAATGCGTAAACTGATTGAAAGGTAAAGTATTTAAGGCACGAAAGAGGAAATATGAAAAATCAATTTTACTATTTTTAGTTTATACATTTTTTACATGCAGCAATTATGTTCGTTTAAAGTAGTTGCAGTTGCTTAAAATAAGTAATAATTTTTTTTGTAGTTTGGATTTTTTGGGCCAAGTTAAAAATTTTAAGACACAAATATATATAAAAAGTGTGTATTTATTACACTTAATTGCATAAAATTACAAAAATTATAAGTATTTGCTCATTTCACAATTTAAAATATGAATTAAGTTTTTGAAATAAAAAATAATATATTACATGAAAAAATTAAACATTTAAAAACGTATTTGCACAATTTTGTAAAATTTTAGTAAACTCTAAAATTATTAATTATTTTATAAAGCACAAAAAATATCATTAATAATGTACTTTATACCTTAAATTATAAATTTTTCTTATAAAAAATAATAATTTATATAACAATTTAAAAAATTTACCTTAAAAACCAAAATTTTCACAATTTTATAAAATTTTAAATAAAATAATTATGTTTTATAGTTCATTTCAAAACAATTTTCAGTCATATTTAAATTTCTTTAATGATCGAGAACTAATTTATTTAGGAAATACCCTAAATAGTAGTCATGTAAAAAATTTAGCAATAATAAGAATTTAAAATTTAATAATAATAAGTTAAAATTTTGATGATAAAAATTTTAAATTGCTGTTAAAGTTATGGCACAAATTTTCTACTAATAATAAAATTAATTTTTTATTGGTTATATTTTTTTATTTAATTCCTGATGTACAACTCACCCACTTCTACTACTATGTAAACTACTTCTACTACCAATTTCTACTACCTACAAAAACCACTCGTAATTGTTCACCAAAGTCGACGGCCATTGTAAGTTGATTATTTATAAATGGTGTAGTTTGTTATTGCGTGAATATGTTAAAAAAAAAAAATAATAATAATAAGTCAAATCTATAACAATTTATTATTAAATAATATAATGTTTATTTGTTCTTTGCATGCGTAGCTGCATAGTAAGATATGATTAAATGGGTAAAATATTTTTGACTCTTAGTTTTGTTAATAACAGAGTAGTATTATTTGCATGTTTGTGTGTAATTTTATTTAAAATATTTAATTTTGAAGTTAAATTTTTTGTTGTTGTTTTTTATTATTATTGTTGTATTTTATGTTTGAGTTGAACGGCAAATCACAGTTTGATTATTACCAAATTCTAATAAGTACATACATATATATAATTTTAATAATATAATATAAACGATTGTACGAGTATATGGAGTTTAACGGTATGTGCTTTCTAAATATATGCCAATAACAGCATATAAACACATAAAAATATTTGCAATGTAAGCTTTGGTTGTTGAGTATGTTTCCAAAACTCATACAAAAACTCTTTGCTTACATATTTACATGCACATGGAGCGAAACTGTATTTTAGGTTAAATAATTAAAATTATTTTACAAATATTTTTAGTTATTAAAACATTTTCTGTTGCGTATTTATTTAACGCTTTTTATAGGAACCTAAAACTTTAAAGTAATTTTCTCAGTGAACTCAATTTTTAATTTCTCTGAAAGACTTGTGATAAACAGAGTGAGAGAGAGAAATACCATCAGACTCATAACTGCAATCACACTAGAACAGTTTTGCATGATAAATTGAGTCTTCGATCAGAGAACCCATTTTGACTTTGTTTTATCTGATTTGGAATTGATTATAGTTCTCATATTCTCTTAAATAAAAATGTATGTCAGTGTTAATTAAATTGGACTTCCTCATACAATGTTATATATCGAAAATGCAACAATGCTGGTCAACTTGGAAAAAATATAAATTTTACAAATTCCGTTACAATCGAAAAATCATATGAAATCACAGACCTACAGAAAACCTTTTTAATTTTTTACTTTTCTTTGCTTGCCTGAGTTCCCTCATAATCTATAGAAACAATGCAATCAAATGCCTAGATTTTAAGAATTGAAGGGGTGCTCCTAGTGTGACACCGTTAAACCTTAAAATTAATGGTTTTAAAATTTTCAGGGTATATTCATATATGTATGTTTCAAGAATACACAGTGAAATTTGTGAAATACAAATTTAAATATTTTTTGAGCTATACGAGATTGGCGCTAAAAAATCCTTACTTCCGTGGATGAAATATAAAATTAAAAAATTCTCGTTAAACTAGAAGATATCCTCCGTACAATGACCTACGATATAAAAAATCAAAAATTGACAGAATGGCGGCGTTTTTAAACAAGTAGAGTTTTACGGCAAATTTTTGATCGCTTTTGGCCTGATCAAATAACTGATTCAGTCAGTATATACAGGACACGAATTCATGATGATCGGACTGAACTGAGTGGCTACTCCTTAAATGGCGTAACTCAAAAGCTATTTGGGATGTCGATTTGAAATTTTAGTATGTTATTTTTAAAGGTATAAACTATCGAAATATTAAAATCGGTCTTCCAAACATTTTACACTAAGTGTGCCCCTAAAGACCGGTATTTGAATGCGATAATTTACCACTTCAGTTAGAATATTTTTGAAATGAAATAAATTAAAAAATTTAATGTAAAAATAAAGCTAAATCTCTCTTTTCTCTTATCTGTTATTTTTTCTCACTATCTCATGTTTTTGGTACTGCGTTACGTATTTATAAATCTGTGTACAGCATACATGGCATAAAAACAGAACCAAGTCATAAAGCTGGTGTCATCCAACCAACTGATTGCGAATCCTTAAGTTCTTCAGTTTTTCTAACATTCTCATTTGTCTGTATCGAATGTTCGATTCCAAAGATTGCAATACCAAAAGATACTTCATAAGCGAAAGGATAGAAAAAACAATATAGTAAAACTCCTTGGCATTCCCCTTTATTACTATTTCTATCAATCGCCAGATGTTTGTTTTCTATATAATACAAAACTCAATAAAATTCGACAGAAAGAAAGAAAATTGTTGGAGAAATAAAAAGACAAAATTTGATTTGTTTTTCTTTATCGATGAGTTGAGCTTAAAAAAGCATTGGAAAAATAAGATTATATATAAATTTTTTTAATTTTTAACCCTTACTTGACACCACTTAAATTGAATAAATAACAATTGTTAACACGGAACACTTAGGCAAAGCAAATGAAATGTATTGCTACACTCAAAATAACATTTTATATGATATTAACCATATTTCATATCTTTCTAATACAAACTTAATGAGCGCTTAATTTTCTTTCAGAAATTTATATTTAAAAAAGTAAAATATATTGTTATAAGAAAATGTCTAACATCATTTTAAATATCATAATTATACTTATATATACATTTTTTTCCAGAAAAGGTTTTAAGAGGCTTCGAATGTTGCATAGAAATACAATTTTCTTACATTTTTAAATCAAATTCTACTTTCTAGACTAGACTTCGTTTAAATACTCCAAACTCTTCTGCAGCCAATAGAAATATCTCTGTTTAGTGAGAACTGCCGAAATATCATCCTACTAGCGGGCAAACTTTGTTCACTGATCCGATATGTGGTATTCAAACTTGTGGTTCATATATAAAATAATAGAGTTACAAATATGTATGGGATATTTCTCTTACAATTAAAGAAACTAGTTTAATATAAACTACCATTAGCATATTCTCACTAAAACATGTTTTGTCTCTCTATTTTTTGTAGCAAGCAGCAGTACCGGAAGGTGTGCATGCTGTTTCTCTCACTTCCAAATAACAAATCTGTTATTTTATTGCAGTTTTTTGTATTTTATAGTTTTAACTACAAGACATAAGGCATGTTCTTGATAAATCTCGATTTCAATATAAATTCTAAACTATAAAAGTGCAACTTTCAAAAAAATCGTCGCCTCTTAAAATACACACTTTATATAATATAACGATATACTACCAAACCTTTAAACCGTAATTGTATTTATAAATGTAAACGAGTAAAATATATTAACTAAACTAATATTTATACGAACATAATGAGTTATGAATGAGCTTAATATTGAAGTACTTAAATCTATCATATCATACAATTGTAATTTATTCACCGCATTTAGAACATATAGCACGAAAAATGTACACGATTTTTTTTACTAATAAACGTTTTTTACATTTTTCGAATATTTCGCAAAACCAATGCCATAAAATAGAAACGAAGCCGGTCCAAAACAACTCCAACAACAAAGTGGCGCAGGATTCACAGCCTACGATACTATGGCAGTGTAATTTGTAAACCGATAGCTGTAGCAACAACAACCACCACCACCATTTACTAGCACAACAACAACAACACAATTAGATGAAGAAAAAAGAATGAATGTAAAACCTCCCAAGCTCCACTAGTCAGAGTAGCTGCAGCAAAAGCAACGCAAATACCAAATAATTTCTTTCAGTGGATTAGTCGGTGCATAGAGCAGAGTTATGTAGCGTATGAGCGTTCTACTTAGAGTAAGAGAGATAGAGAGAGCGTGAGTAATAGTTAGCAAGAGATAGCGAGCACAAGTAAACGGTAATTTTGAAGTAAACTCAACTCTCTCACCATAGTTAAGGCAGCGTAAGGGAGATAGGGAGCACATTATAAGATAAGAAGAGAGGAAGTGTGTGAGCGGGAAACGCACGATACACGGGCGTCATTTGTGCGAAAGAGACAAACATATAATAATATCACAAGAGACATCACAGTAAATGTAAATGAAAAACTAAATAAAAAACACTCTCTCCTTTTTTTCTATAAAATTAAACACGTAACGAATAAGTTAATGATGACGAAAAAGTTATGCATAAAATTATAAAAGAAAAGTAAAAAAAAGTTGCAGAGGAGTTGTATGACGAAATTTGAAGAGGGAAAATATTACATAACTACAGAAACATACATACATATACGAAACATATTTATATTATACAAAATATGCATACAATTATATTATTAATATTACTACAACAAGAAAAAAACGAAAAAATATATATACATATATTATTATTATTACTATAATTAAATGTTCTATGTGAAAAGAAACTGATAAAAAAGAAATGAAAATTAAATTAAGCAAATAATTCTGCATGCAAGTAAGAGAGCAGAGCGGCATGCGAAACAACTACTTCATTAAGACGAAAACACCAGTAAATATTTTACAAACAATAACAGCAACAGCAACAAATACAATGTATATTATTTGTGTTTATTTGCTGTACGCAAAAACAAGAAAAAAAATTTATAACAAAACCAAATTTTACTTTTAAAAAAGCAAACGAAACAAAGTACTCGTACATATGAAATGATCAAGCATTTATTGTAATAAACTAGTTGAAAGTGCAGTTAAGAAAATGGAGAGAACAGTTGCAACAAAAGCGTTTTTATAAGCCATCAATTTTTATGTATAGTTAAATAAGTGAAAATGCAAACAAAGTCAGCATAAAAATAAAATTTAAACAACACACTACAGAGAAGACAAATCTCATACACAAGACTAGCGGCAAGTGTATAATTTTCGTTTTCGAATTTTAACACAATATTGTGTTATATTTGCGAAATTCTTTTAGATACCCTTTTTCATCGTTATGTATGGAAAGCTTACGCGAACCATTTTTTATCGTATATAATTTGTATATATCCAAAGCCTTAAATTCAGTTCAACATAAATTGAAATAGCTTTGGGGAAGTTTGTGCAAACTGGCTTCTACAAGAGCTTGCGCAAACTTAATTTTTGTGCTTTTAAAGGGTTTCTAGTTCAAGTTTGTAAAAACCGCTTGCGCAAATATTTTACAATGCACTAAAATGCAATAATAACAAGTAAAATGCAGTGATTTCGATTTTATAACAAAATTTTACGCAGATAATTATTGCTCTTAAGTGTTTAGCGCACTCTTTCAAAAATAATGAAATTAATAATTTTTTCTTTACAACATTTTGTTGACATAACTAAGAAGTTATGTCATGTAAAGTTATGAAATTTATTGACATAGCCAAATTTTAATCCATTTTTTACAGTAACATTCACTTAGGTGACGTAACTATAAGTGTTGTGCAAAATGTTTGCTGAAAATTTATTAACTCCTTTGTTTACTATTTTTACTCACTGTTTAGGTTTTACATTATTTGTTTAGTTGTTGTTGCTTACTGCTACAGCAAAAATACATTTTTTCAACTATTTTAACACTATTTAATTTCAATAAATTTTTTAAACAGCGCGCATAAATATTATTATTAATATTTGATAAGTATACAATCAATTTGCCATTTTGCAAAGCAAGTTATGTAAATTTTAATTCAAATTATTATGAGCTTGCATTTTTTAAATTAATATTTACATTTATAATAGTTTTTTTTCGCCAACATGTATTGCATATACAAAATAAATAGCAAGACGCTGTTTGTGTCCTATTAAATTTAAGTTATAATTTAAAAAAATGTCTAAATTTAGTTAAAATGTATTTTTTTATTTAAAGAGATTTGTGTTTTCAGGAAATATTTATATATAATATTTTTAACTAAAACAAAGATTCTGCTGGCATATTGTCGCGGAGAGTAAAATTTTAACATTTCGGCTTATAATCGTAGAAAAAAAATTTTTTTTTGGTTATAATAACAAGTAAAAAATATTGCACTATAAATCACTATTAATTTCAATCCTGCATTGTGACTCAAAATTTTGGTAAAATAGATATACAAATTTAATTTTAATTAAAAAGAAAAGAATTTGATAATATAAAATTTTTTAAAATATTTCTTTTTTACTAAATAGAAATGCACGCGATTTGAAAATTCTTTCATGAGTGATATAAGCTTTGTTTGCTAGTGTAAACAAGGAAGTCATTAATTCTTAATTATAAGTAAATCTGTAAAGATTGATGAGGGTAAAAATTAATAATTAAAAATATTTGCAGACAGTTTTCTTTTAATTGACAAATTCAATTCTTAATATTGTAATTGAATAAGGTGCTTGGCTGTATATCTATAGATATTCTATTAATGTTTTTGTTTTTTAAATTACAAATATGAAATTTTACTTTATGAAATTAGTGAATTTTCAATTTTCACACATAATTCGTAATTTATTCTGATGTGTTGTTCAACTGCCAAGCACAAAAAAGTTGTTTTGAATATTTCACTATAAATTTCATAAAGACTCGATATATACTACAATTTAGATCTTAAAATGTTCTTCCATTTCTTTTTTTTAATTTGCATTATTCATCAATTGATTTAAAAAAATGCAATGCACATAACTATTTGCAACTGCTTATAACTTTAAAACACTATATTTATTTTGGTAATCATAAACTAAATTGTATAAGTATCGAAAAAAGTTTCACGCACAAATTACTCGAAACTATTCAAGTTCTTCCTACAAAGACAAAGCAAAAATTTAATGCAAAACTTCGCTTCCTCGTTAAATGTTCAGTTTGCAATTGTAAAAATTATTTATAAAAGGTTTTTATAAAATTTTCAATTTTACATGTAATTTATGCACTGAAGAAATGCCATTACACAAATATAACCCAGCAACGTTGCAATTTTAACACTGTAATTTGTATTATACAAAATATCTCCAAACACAACACACACTGTTCACTTTTGCACCGAAAAACTCACTTTAGTTAGTTAGCTTTAAACAATTTTTACTTTTGGTTTTATGTCTTCAAAATGCATAGGTACTAAAGTGTGTTTCTTGCGTCTGCTTACTTTTTCGATTTTCTAATTTATATATTTTACATTGCGTATACTATACTATGTATTATGTTTTAAGATTTCTTAGCTTTACGTGATAAACAAGTTTCTGATGTTAAATTTAACCGCTAAGCTGTACTCGAATTTTTTTTCGTAAAATGTAAAATGCTTTACTTGCTAAATAATATATGACTTTGATTTTTTCAATTAAAATATAATTGTTTTTTCTTTCTTTCTTAAGAGATATTTTTATTTTGGGTTTTTTTAAAATGATTTTATGTCAGTTTTGATTTGAAGGCTATTTTTAAAGGATTGTATTATTTTTGGTTTGAAAAGTGATACATTTATTATATACATAAATATTATATCAAAAAATGTTATAAATGATTTTGTAATATGTATTTAGAAATATTTAATATCAGTACTTTTTATTGATTTTCAAAATCGAAGATTAATATAGTTAAAATTTGAAATTAATATTTTTTTATTTTAAATATTACAGTATTTAAAATATTTTTCCGTATATTTAATTTTAATACATTTTTTATCTATTTCCCTTTCTTTTTTAACTCTAAAACTATCATTACAAAAAAATAGTACAAAAATTAGTCATTTAATTTACTTAATATATATTCTGTACTTCATTATAATATTTTTTACGTAACATTTGTTATTGAAAGTTTGCTGATCAATAAAAAATATTTTTTTATTTCTATTAAATAATTTTAATTTAATTTTTTAATAATATTTAATTTTATAATAAAATATTTAAATATATTATATTTATTTAAACTACATGACATTTTCTATAAGTTATATAATTTAACAAACAAAATATTTGGTATTTTTTAACTCGGTTTTATTTATTTCAAAATTTTATAGAAAAGCTTATAGTTTTAAATGTATTTCATAGTTTTTACATATTTATTTAAATTTCCAGTGGCTCCCAAACCCATTTCCATATATAAAGACTGAATTAAGTAAAATAAATCTGACACAATTTTTTAGCAAATAAAACACTTAAATATGGAAAAATGCTTGCAAAAAAATACGTGTAAATATTGCTCAAGTACGGTAGTGTGCTTTGTGGCGCCATAAATTGAATGTAAATTTTTGGATAAAGATTTTGTAATTTTTTACCCACTATTATAAATTAGAATTTCTAAAAAATTTTAATAGTGTATTAAATTGATTATTATTTTAATTTACAACTATTTAGAGGATTGTTATTGTTTTTTCCAATCCGAATGGCTTGCTTGGATTGGAAAAAAACAATAACAAAGGCTTGCTTGGGTTGGAAAAAACAATAACAATGCCCAAAGTAGTTGTTAACTGCTTTACCGACGCACTAACCATTCTACGAAAATGTTGCGCCTAAAAGCACACCTCAATATACGATTTGAATAGCTCTGACAGTAATAGATTGCGTGAAAATTTGAGTGTCAAGCATAATTTAAATTATTTATTTTGTTAATGTACAATTTCTCACAGGATTAATTATTTTAGTAACTTAGAATATTCTTTATTTCATACAAAACTTGTTTATCTTGTTTTCGAGTAAATGTATTTATTTTCAATAAAATTTTAAAACTTAATTTTTTCAATTTTTAAAGTTTTAAAATTATTTTTTTCTCATATGTGTAATTTAAATTATTCTCTTACATTAATATTTATTTGCAATACTAATTTTTTAAATTTATCAGTTATTTTTTTTAGCTTGTAAGTTTGTTATTAAGTACTGAAATCTAATTAGAATAAAAAAAATATTGAACAACTTTCTAAACTTTTCACATTTTATTCATTTATCTTTTTTACTATATTTTGAAGATTAAAAGGTCCACTAAGTTCAAAAAAATTGTAAGTGAAATATTGGAAATCAAAAATTCGAATAAAAATTTGGAATCAAAACAAAACTGAATTTAATTTTTAAAAGATACTAATTTAATTTCCAAATCTCAAAAATTTACCTTTTAATAATTTAAATTTAATTCTTAAAAAAAATTCTCTGTGCCAAATTTTTTCACTCTTCTTTTTTATGCATATTGCATGCGAAATTTTTTTATTTTTTTTATGTATTATATTTTTACATATTGTAAAATATGTAAAAAAGTAAATTTATTTTAATATTTATCTTTTGAATTCAACTTTTTTTTATTAATTTCATTTTAGTACCTCAGCTTTTTGCAGTACCAATGTAATAATACACCAACACATACATTTTAATTTTCACATCAGCAAAACAAATAAACAATCAACTTTTTAATGTAGTGTACTTAAAATACTTCTTTTTTAATATTTACAAAAAAATATTAAATATAAAAAATTCATACAAAAAGAAACGAAAATTCGTCGATTTACCATTTATAAATAAATAAATGTAGTGTTGTGAAATTATTGCTTAAAAGAGCATACATATATACAAAAATAAATATTACAAATACAAATATTAACAAACATACATATTAAACTAGCATTTAGCTTACTAATATTTCAAAATCGTAATACTTAAAATACGATAACGGTGAAGGTCGAATAAAGAGAAAATCTTCTCTATTTATTCGACTTTTAACTGATGCTCTTTATAGAAAATAAAATTACAGTTTATAAAAGATACATATTGACGTAAAATGTTTAGGCAGAGAAAGCAAAATTACAAATATTCGTATTGAAAAATTTGCAAATTGAAATCAAAAATCAAAATTCCAAAAAAAAAAATATAAAAACGTTTACAAAATTCGTGTTTTTGGCAATTATGTGAAACAAAATTATTAAAACTAAGCTTAAGAAATTCATAAATACATAACTACTCTCACTTTACATTTTACATAACTATTATATATGTATGTATACATTAAAAAAAAATTAAAAAATATAAAAAAGTAAAAAGTTAAAGAGAGATACGATACGAGAAATAACAAAATGATGTTGAGCTGTTTTGCAAATAAAAAGAAAACGTGCAAAACTCTTTGAAAAAACTCTTTCGTCGAATGGATGCCGCGTACTGTTGGAAAGAAATCAATAAGCGTACAACTCGTGATGTCAAAAGTGGAGGGAAAAATAAGGTTATGTGCTAACTAACAAATTCATCGAATATACATACATACATCTAACAGACGTACGCACTCACGCACTTGCTCACGCTCGCACAACGCTACGAAAAATCATAAAGAGTTACATACATAACCTATCATAAGTACATACAGTCATTCATGCATTTCATACATACATACATCTATATGATGCATGCATACATCAATTATGAATTGAATTTTTACTAAATATATAAAATTATTGCCATCGCTTAATTGTTTGTGTTGCTTGCATAACCCGAAAACGCTTCTAATTAATACTATTTATAATAATAAGAATTTTTCTAACTCAATTATATAATAACTAAATTAAAATATGTATCAGCAATGATGAAAATTCATAGACGAAATAACTATGCTACAAATTAACGAGATTTGTAACGTTTGGTGTGCTATTAAAGTGAGGCTTTTGTAAGAGTTTAATGAAAAGTAATTATTTTAAGAAAAATCTGTATGATTTTTAAAATAAATTTATTACACAATATTAATATATGTATGTATACATCAAAAGGATGAAAATTGAAACGGAGTGTATGTTAAAATCCAGCATACAGATACATATACATACATACATAATTAGTTTGTAGTGAAACGAATTGAATCAAAATATCATGCCATCTCATTCATCATACAATACATAGTATTCATACATCCATTACATATTTAATTAAGTACATACATACATCACTGAAAAAAAAGAAAAACTAACAACATTAAAAACGCTACATGCGCACATACTCATTACTGAAAATACATAAAAAATAAAAAACCACATTACTCACAACTCATGAACGATGAAAATGATACAATTGTTGGAAAGTGTACGCAAGTGCAGAACGAAGGCAAAACCATGAGTAATATCTGAAGCAGAAAACAGAAAAATTCAAGAGTTGGTACTCTCACAATGCAACTCCTCTACATACTCCTCTCTAAAATTACTCAAAATAAAGAAAAAAAATTAAAATAAAAAAAAATTCAATAAATAATAAATACATATAAGGTTTGTATTAACAGAAAAAGATTAAACTTCTTTAAAAAAATGTAATGAAAAAGAAAACGTAAATAATGATGAAGAAAATGGGCACTGGAAATTTATGAAATTATGAAAGTAGATGAAAAATTTAAACGAGAGTGAATATTCGTAATTGTAATTTTAACGCAATGTCATATATACTTACAAACACAAACACACACAAACACATACATACCGAAAAGCTTAAATGTAAAAACAAATTAATAAAATGAAATAAAAACCGAATAAACGTGGCAATGATGAAGCCCGAGCGGCCATCTACACACACTTCAAACGCAAATAAAAGCAAAAACTGAACGCTAAAAGAAATAAAGAAAGACAAAATTGAGTGAAAGCTATTTTAGCTCACACGTGAAAGTTCACAAAGCTCAAAAGCTTGCTTGCAAGTAAGATTGGTTCGAAAAAAAGTTAAATTAATACACTATAGAGAACAACTGAGCGTAACAGGGCGGGCTCTTGCACACAACAAACAAACAAAACAATATACACAACAACAACACGAAATCATATTGCCAATTTATGTTGGATCAATAAAAAAAAACAAAAACAAACAAGCATTTACTGTGTTTTATTTCCAGATAGATCATTCAGGATTTTATACAACAATAAGTTACATAAAGCTCGAAAGCTTGCCTGCACATGAAGTTAAAGGTTACTGATTCTACTGTTTGTTATTGCCTGAAGAGGGTCTATTACCATCAGGATTGCAAATAATGCATGAAAGAAATAATTGAATTAAATTTTTTTTTCATTTTGTAATCCCGAGAATCTTAATTAAAAATAATTTTTCACTTTTTAAACCCAAATACATGTTTGAAAATAAAGTATATAATTAAAAGTTAAAAAAAAAATTGTTTTAGATTTCATTTTTCGCGTTTGCGTACTTCGTGTTCCACCTATTTGAACTAGAGCTCGCACAGAGCTATCATCTTCAATATTCTAGAGCACTGATCGGTAGCTTACACATTTAAATGATTTAAACTGTATAAAGTGGGAATTCTGATTTTGTGATTAAAAATAAAATTTTCCATTCTTAATTCCGATGTTGGGAATCCAAGATCTTGT